AAAACCCTTCTAATGTTCTTAATCATTCTCTAAACTAGTAAGCCTACATGATTTTAATAATACACGTATACTGTATGATACAGTATGTATTCATCCACTAAGAAATACATACTGTAAACAGTGTACTTTATTTTGACTTTATATTCTTTTAATATGTTAGAATTAACATTTTTAATATCTTGTAGCTCAATTTTATTTTACTTTGTAGAGTAAAAGTCGGAGCAAAAACAAACAGAAAAAAGACAGAAACAAGGTAACATGCAACAACACATATATCACAGATTTTCAAAACAGGAATCGCTAGTTAACAATGCTTATTATATTTTTTATTTTTATCACCAATATGTTGCTCAAATTAACAGGCATATTTATGAAATTTTGGACAAATAATTGAATATTAATGCTTGTTTTCAAGAAATATCAAATTTTTTCCTTGTCTTTTTAAAAATTATTTTAAGGAGAGTGTAATAATTGATAAGACACTAGAAATGGCACACACTTAGAAGTCCAAGATCAAAGGTATTCAACTGTGAGTTTTGTATTACACATTGCTGTTCTCAATGTAGTTGCTCAGATTGCATGTATCAGCATACAGAACTAGGCAAGGTGAAAACTGAACATTAACTGCTATTTTCAAAAAACTTGTTGGAAATTATTAGTACAATCACCTCAGCATCCTGTATATATATTTACATGTTTTCCTCCTTTCTTTTTTCCTATCTTTTCTCCTTTCTCTCATCTTCATTGTTCAATACTTAAGTTCAAGTTCTTTCCATTTTACTATATCTACCATAGCTTTCAGGTTTTATTTATTCTTTTATGTTCCTACACTAGGGAGACAATATGATATTTACACTTGTGGGTCTGATTTAGTATAGCCTCTAGTTGCATCTACTTATCTATAAAGGCTTTGATTTTTTCTTAATTTATAGCTGAGTAGTGCTCCATTGTATAAAAATACCACATCTTTTTCATCCATTCCTCAAGTGATGGGCATTTTGGTTGTTTCCAAGATTTGGCTATGACAAATTGTGCTGTTATAAACAGGGGTATACATATATCACTATGATATGATGTTTTCAGTTCTTTTGGGAAAATACCTGGCCCCCCAAATTTAAAGACCCAATCCAAAAATAGGCATCTGAGATAAACACACACTTCTCAGAGGAAGTAGTACAAGTGGCAAATAAATATATAACAAAATGTGCCACAGCACTGGCCACTGGAGAGGGGCTTATGAGATAACTCAGTAGACTAAAGCACCTGCTTAGGCAAGCACAGGGACCATGGTTTGATCCCTGGCACCACATGCCACACCAGCCCCCAGGGCAGGGTGAGCCAGTCAGAGTCCAAGCATGGTGGCTCATGCCTGTAATCCCAGCCCTGGGGAGGCTGAAAGCAGGAGGATCACTAGAAGCCCAAACTTCATAGTGAAACCTTGCAATAACTAAATTCATTTTTTAAAAAATTGAGATACCGTCTCTCCCCAGAAAGAATGGCTATCATAAAGATATCAACTTATAACAAATGTTGGAGAGGCTGTGGGGAAAAAAAGGAACCCTTCTCCACTGCTGGTGGGAATGTAGACTGGTATAACCACTATGGAAATCAGTGTGGAAACTTCTCAAAGAAACTAGGATTGGAAGTCCCATTCAAACCAGCTATTCCCCTTCTGGGTATTTTAATATAAATTCTAGACAGGAATTTTTAAAACCATAATTACTATTCATTTAAATAAATATACAGTACTATATAGCACCACAAAGACCCCTGGTATAGTGAAAAATCCATGATAAATAATTTAGATTAATATTTTGGAAAACCCATGAAACAGTGAACCCATGAAAGTTGAACCATGAAATAGTGAAGGACTACTATACCTCTACTGTATATTTAGCATCTGGTGCTGTTTCTATGGAAACTTGAGAATAATAACCAAATGCTGAAGTTGAGAATTCTTGTCACTTTAGTGAATAGCAACATTTTATTTTCCCTACAGTGCTTTTGATCCAATGTCTTGCTCGATAAACGCTACTGAGGTGAGCTACACCAAGGAAGTGAGCTACATCCCTGGCTGTAAACATTCCATTTTCTAAGACAAATAGAAATGAAAATTTTTTAAAAATGAAAATTAACCATAACATCCAGAAACATAAAACAACACACTCTATGCTTATAAAGTATTTTTGAATATCTCAGATTTAGTGTTTATCATTCTCCTATACTTGCCTAACCTCTTGCAAGTTTCTCCTCAATTCCATTGTCCACCCCATGTTAATTCTGTTCCCAGAAGAAATCCACGGCCTTCATTAGTAAATCCATGCCATTTTTTTACATTTACTTTTATTCTTATCCATTAAAATAAATGTGTACACATATGACAGAGACCTACCTGTTGCTTATGAATTGTATAAAAACATAAATGGAATTAAGTAAGTCTGCAAAGGTTTTGCTCAAGGACTGAATTTGTCACATGCACCACTTCTGTGTCACCCTGTGCTAGAAGTTAGCCAGATGATGTCTTGCACTCTAATTTCTCACTTTTGCTTCTTGCTCAGCAGTACACAGAGAATGCACAGGCTTCCTTTGTATTGAGGAGAGCCGAAGTAATGCACATCATATGATAACATATTACAAATCATAAAAATTATATACTTGTGTTTTCCCCTTTTATTATTACACATATATTATTACATATTCCTCCTCTACTAATTTTTTCTAAGATCAATCAGTGGCTTACTTTACACCACGAAGCAGAGTAAGTTTTGAGAAGTACTTACATGCTTTGTGTTTAAAGGCTCAAAACATAGATTTTTCTTTCTTTAGTGGGTTTTGAATATACTGAAGTTACAAAGGCATGTCCAACACAAGGCTTAATTAATCTAACAAACAAACCAAGAGCCCAACTAAAGTTAAAATGAAGAAGAACTTTAAGATATTTCCTGAATAGTAATGAAATAAATTCTGTCGCTGAAATGAAATAAATGGGCCAACTCTACATACATCTTTCTGATAAAATATTTTCCACTCCAATGGACTTAGTGTTTGTTACACTGTAAACCCAGCTTTCAGAGAGGATGGGGCAGGAGCATTCCAAGTTGAAACCTGGGAAATTTAAGTGATATAGATAGACCCTGTCTCAGAATAAAATTTTTAACAAAGAGCTAGGGATAGAGCTAAATGTGAAGGCCTTGGATTCAAACCACATCACTTCAAATTCAAAACAAAACAATAACAACAAAAAAGGCAGTCTTCATTCAAGAATCATCTTGTTATCTGGATTGTTCACGTTCCAAAATCATAGGGATAAAAATCAAACATCTGGGCTTTTCTCTCCAGAGTCAGCTTGAAAACCCTGGCACAAGTGCCCAACACCAAGAAATCTAGTTCCTATAAGGAAGAAGCCCCAGTACACCCAGAGTCCAGGGATGGCAGAGGGTGAGGCCTTCATTTGAAGGCAGAAAATATCCCCCTACCTCCTTACCTTTGGGCCTCTCCCAGTCACTGATGTGGTACAGGTGGTAACCATCCTTCCTTCCCATCAAAAACTCCTCAGTTTCTTGGGAACCAAGTGCTTGTGCTGCATCTCCAGCCACCACCCTACAGATCTCAGACTTGTACTGTGGCTTGCCTGAGTGCTTGTGCTGGCCCAGCTTGAGTCTGCCATTGGGGGCTCTGCAGCAGGTTGCACTGTTCCCCATGGGACACCACTACACTCTCATTCAGCTGTACCCAACGAGCTCAGCAGTGCAGAGGCAGGCTCACCTGCTCTACCTTCTACTGGTCCCTGCCCAGAAGACAGGTCCCCACTTGGTCACCTGTTCCCCAAGCCTTCAAAGCCAACTAGTCTTCTGTGAGACTGTAATATGGCTTTTAAAAAGGGTAGAGATTGAACAAGTGTTGAGAGGCAGCCACTGTCAAGTGAGTAGGTCAGAGCTCTTCTCCTCCTTCAGCCACTTCCTACCAACTGAAAACACTAGGCCAGCACCTGCCAACTGGAGCACATTCTGTGGTCACCAGGTTACCAGGAGCCAATCATAACCAGAGTTCCACCTGCCAGCCCACCCAACTGGCAACCACGCACTTGATTCAAAACATCTCACCCCACCTGGGGCTGACCAGCCCCTCACAGTCAGGGTCTAGGATGTCTTTTTTTGATTCGTCAGCTGCTGCCGGAGCCTCTCTGGATTTTGTAATTTGACAAGTGCTGTGGATCAATAGACATTATAGAAAGCCCCAGTTAGTGAGGTGCAAGTTCATGGGCAGCTCAACTTCTCTGAGTCCCATAGCTTTCATTTTCTCATAGAACTTAGTTGTATCAAAATTGTTGATTATTTCTATACCTAAATGTTTCTCTACTGTCTTTCAATCAAGTATTCATTTTCACCTACAACTTGAGATTCTGGTCTTACTCTCACTAGAGAGTTCTAGCATTTTTAATGAGACTCAGGGCCCCTCCACATTTAAAATAGGGGCCAAACTGGCCTTTCTAACTGTGTCTTCTGTCCCTCCTACTGCACACTATTCTGTATTTTCCCTTTTTATGTAACAACTCATGAAGTAGAAACTTCTGTTATGAACTTTAGGAATCATAAAAGTGGGGCTCCAAGGTCCTGATTTGATAAGGACTATAGAAACAGTTAACATTCATTAGTACTACATGTTCAGCATTGTTCTAACTGAAATACTCATGTAATCCTCAAATACAATTCCACTTTACATTTTACAGAAGAAAACTGAAATGTAGCTTACAAAAGTTGCATTATATGAGGCACAATAGATCAAATTGGAAACAGAAGGATTTTACTTTAGAGTATATAGCAGCTCAGCTGATAAATCCAACATGATTAAGCAAAAGACAAAGGACAGGTTCTAGCTTTTATGTACTTGGCTAAGAGGGCTGGTCTTCCACATGGAACTTGTGGATGGGCCAAAGAAGAATAAAAGCAGTTTGTCAAGATGTAATGGTTTTGTATCTTGGTAGCCATGCTCAGACATAATAGGATGATATGAGAACACAAGGTTATAACATTTTACTTAGAGGGACAAAAGTTACTACTTCATTATGATTGCTGAGGATGAGGCTAGAATAGTCTGGCTCTTAAACAGTATAGGTAACAGAACTATTGCATTCTCACAGTATTATCTTTTAAAGAAGAACTTGTTTTTTCCAGTACTGGGGATAGAATTCAGGACCTTGCTCTTGCCAGGCAGGCACTTATTCTACTGAGATATCTCCCCAGTCCAGGAACATTTTTTTTTAATGTGAGATTTTTTAAAAAACAATTTTTTTGTGTGTATGTGGAACTGGGGATTGAACTCAGACCCTTGAGCTTGCCAGGGAAGTGCTTATTCCACTGAGCAATCTCCTCAGCTCCTAAAAATGTGGGATTTTAAATGCCTTCTCTTCATCAACATTAAGTCCTTTTGTTTGCCAGGCACTACATGTATGAAATGATACCACAGTAAATGAATCTGAGAAAGTCAAGAAATAATAAAGGCTTAAGAAGTAGTTCTCTGGGGTCTTACTGCTGAACTGTGCTGGATTATAGAATACAAGCCCAGATCAATTTGACTACAATGTAGATGATGGTGGAAGAGTTTGTGTTTTAACCTAGAAATGAATGTTATTGTTCAGATTTAAAATGACCCTCAAAACCTCATGTTCTTGGAATATGGCTGGATAATGGAGGTGTTATAGCTGACCTACTGTTAGAAAGTGAGATTGGTTGAAAGAGGTGGATTATGAAGTGCATGTTATGGTTTGTGTCTATATGTCTCCCCAGTGCCTCATGCACTCATAGGTGAAGCTTTTCAGATGTGTTTAGTTCTAGAGTGCGTGATGCTGGGATTATGGAATTAGTCTGCTTATTGGTTTGGCAGAGTTCTGGGTAGGATTAAGGTTTCCATGCCCTGGGTGTGAGTGCTGCCCACCCTAAGGGAAGGTAGTCTGGATAAAACATAAGCAGAAAAAAAGATGGTTGCTTGCTGATCCACTGCTTATCTGCCTTCCTACCTTCTGTCCATTATGAGCTGTTTCAATTCTGTGATGCCCCTCTGCCCTACCACCCTGCCTTGAAGCCAGCCAAATATGAACTGAAATCTCTACAAACTGTGAGATACAATAAATGTTTCCTCTTTTAACTTTAGGTGCCAGATATTTTGTCTCAGAAATAAGGAAAGTAACTAAAATAGGGAATGATGTTTTCAATTCTTTTAGAAAGATGCCCATAAAGGAAATAGCTGGGTCTGATAGGCCAAAACTACAGCAAGCACTTACAGCCTACTTGACTAGGAAGGATTTTACCTTACAACATTGTGAGCTCTGCTTGAGGGAGAAACTGCATCTGAAGTAGTGAACTTCCATTCAGCTGTAGGCTGCCCAGTGGTCTTATCAAGAAGTTAGAGTGCAAACACCACTATAAACTCTGTTTGGAAAATCAGTTTCTCTCTCTCTCTCTCTCTCTCTCTCTCTCTCTCTCTCTCTCTCTCTCTCCTTTTTTATCATTTAAGACTTTTATTAATAGGTGCTTGCAGTTTGTTGACTTTTTTGAAAAAGTCAAGTTGTAAACTTTTATTACAAATTAAAAATGAAGTTCTCAAAAAGTTTCAGCTTCACCAGATATGAAATAATTTAAAAGCCTTTAAAAGTGTATTGAGTAAAACCGGGCTTTAAAAACAAAACAAAACAAAACAAAACAAAAAACCCACATTTGTCTTTACCAAAAAGAGACATCGTTAGGTAAAAATAATTAAAAACCCCATGCTGCACAGATAATGCAGATAGTTCTAGTTATCTAGTCAATGGGCAAAAAACAAGGACATAAGGTCTTCAGTTCCAACCTTTTGTTCATTTCTTATTGCTAGAATTCCCTATTCATTTCTTTCTTGCTGGATGACTAAACCAGATGCTGGTAGAGACGTTAAGCCAGGCTTTACTCAGCCCCACCCTGCTCAGCCTTGGGAGTGGACAGACTTAGCTGGTGGATCACTGCTTTTGTCTCTTTGCCATCTTGTGGTGTAGGGTTTTCTGAGCATCTGCATCAGTTAATTGAAGTTGCAATGGCACCAACACTGAGGTGGCTGCTGATCTTGGGTTTCATCTCCTTGATGTTCCTTATCTTCTTCTTCTAGGCTGTCTTTGGTAAGGAGGGCCAGTGAGGAATCATGGTCTATAACTGTGGTCAATGCCCATAGGGTAAGGTGGGAACCTGCCTGCAGTTGGGCCGGCGTTGTTGGGCCTGGCTTTATTCTTTTCCCTACTCTCACTATTCTGGTAATTCTGCTGGTAATTGCATGGAGGACCCCATGACCTAGGTAGTGTCTATAATGGTTATGATTTGCATATTTACTGCCTTGAACTGGAGCTCCACCAGGGCCTGTAACATTTGCTGCCTCCGCAACTTTTTCTCCTTCAACAACATCAAACTCCATAGTCTCTTCATTTCCTACACTGTGAAGGTACTTCCTGGCGTTCTTCTTCTTCATGACAGTCTGGTGTACAAATACACCTTCCTTAGTGTCATTCCTGTTGATGAAACCACATCTGTTTCTTAGGGCAACGTCTACAGGATCTCACTACGTAGATCAGACTCGTAGCGATTTTCTTGTTTCCAGCCTCCCAAGCACTGGGATTACAGGCCTGCACCACCATGCCCAGTCTCAATCAACATCTCAGCACGGCCTGGGGGTGGGGCTGGCATGGTTTGCTGGGGATAGAGTACCGGCCACTGCGCTCTGCCTAAGCAGGCGCATTAATCCGCTGAGCTATCTGGCCAGCCCAATATCCGTTTCTTACACTGAACCATTTTACTGTTCCCAAAACCTTCATTGTGATGACCTTCTTGTCTCCACCAGCAGGCGCTACCAATGTGAGGCCACCGGGCCACGGCTCCCTGTGCTGCTGCCCCTGGTGCCTCGCTTGGTGTCAGCAGTGCTGAAGGCGGAGGGGTGGGGGTCGGAGGGCGGGCAGCAGGTGACTGCTGGGTCTTGCTTGGCGTTGCTGCTCATGTTTGTGGTGGAGGTGACGGGGGCCGGCTGCAGCAGTTGCGCGTCCTCTCGGGGTGTGCAGCAGCGGTGGGGCTGCTCGCGGTTCTCTGGGGTCCGCCCTCAGTTCCCACTACTGATTGAACTCAGTTTCTTCTCTCTCTCTCTCTCTCTCTCTCTCTCTCTCTCTCTCTCTCTCTCTCTCTCTCTTCCTACCTTCCTTCCATTCTTTCTTTCTTTGCTTTTTTTTTTCATGTCAGGGATTGAAATCAGCGGTTTTGTTTCTAGCATGGTTTTATTAGTGATATCAATGAAATACACAAACCTCTTCAGGCCTTTTCTTTCTCACAGAGCAGCAGCACTGCATTTTTTGCCTAATCTTCCGCTCAAATTAGTTTTCTCCAGAAAGAGCACATTGGAAGTCAGTAAAATACTATGGAAGCTTCAGAAGTACACCAGTGTCATTCCGGAAAGTTATGTAGACATCTCAAATAGAATGCTAAATCTTAAATTTCTAGAAAAAGAACAAATCAAGCTGAAAGCTTGTGTAAGAGAATAAATTATAAAGATCAGAGCAGAAATTAATGTGATTTAAAGTAAGAAAATAGTACAAAGAATCAAAGAGTTGGTTCTCTGAAAGATCAAATAGCAGTATAAGACCTTAGACAATGTTGTTGCAAAAAGGAAAGAAAACCTCAAATGCATGCAACTAGGA